ATCGGTTTATTCTGCAAATGCTTGATCCCATAGCCAGGGTTTAAGTTTCTTCCAGAAGGTAAAGAGGGAGGGGGCAGATCTGACCTCATTCAGGAGAGAGTTTCACAGCCGAGGGGCCACCATGGAGAAGGCCCTGTCTCTCATCCCCACCAACTGCGATTGCAATGGTGGTGGGACTGAGAGAAGAGCCTCCTTGGATGATCTTAAGGTCCTTGGTGGTTCATAGAGGGAGATATGTTTGGACAAGTAAACTGGGTCAGAACCATTTAGGGCTTTATAGGTTAAAACCAGCACTTTGAATTGCACTCGGAAGCTAATAGGCAGCCAGTGGAGCTGCCGTAGCAAGGGAATTGTAAGCTCCCTGTACCCCACTCCCGTGAGCAACCTGGCTGATGAGCACTGGACTAGCTGGAGCTTCTTGGCAGTCTTCAAAGGCAACCCCATGTAGTGTGTGTATATGGGATGCAACCAGAGCATGGACCACCGTGGCCAAGTCAGACCTCCCAAGATATGGCCGCAGCTGGCACACAAGTTTTAATTGTGCAAAAGCTCCCCTGGCCACCGTTGAGACCTGAGGTTCCAGGCTCAGCGATGAATCCAGGATCACACCCAAGCTACGAACCTGTGCCTTCAGGGGGAGTGTAACCCTATCCAACCCAGGCTGTAATCCTATACCCTGTTCGGCCTTCCAACTGACCAGGAGGACCTCTGTCTTGTCTGGATTCAATTTCAATTTGTTAACTCTCATCCAGTTCGTTACAGCAGCCAAGCACCAATTCAGAACCTGAACAGCCTCCTTAATAACTGGTGGGAAGGAGTGACAGAGTTGGACATCACCTGTGTACAGATGACACCGGACTCCAAAACTCTGGATGATCTCTCCCAATGGCTTCATGTAAATGTTAAACAACGGCTTTTTCTGTTGATTTTTGTAAAACATGATGTTTTGGTGCTTAATTTGTAAAATTTAAATAACGTAATTTGATGTTTAATAGGTTTTTCCTTAATCCCTCCTTATTATCCAACATTTTGCTTCTGTCGGCCCTTTTATGCTGGATAAGTGAGACTCTACTGTATTTTTACATTTAAAATTCAGAAATATCAATATTTTCATAGATTGCTATTTTTCTTTGCCTTTAATAATGCAAGCTTGATCCTTCGCAATGTCAAAGTAACACAATTTTTTTAAAAAAGAGGGAGATGGCAGAGAATCCACTCAATCTTGAGATAATGATAAAACAGTTTGTTATGTAGAAACCAGCAAATTGAAATGATATGAGATAAGTAATGAATAATGGAACATAGTGATTTGCAATGCTATAGGACTAAATGCCACAATTACATATTGTCCCCCCCTCCTCTCCCCACACACTACGCCCACATGGGATAAGGTCCAAATAATGATTTTATACTATTAAGGACCACAAAATGCACCTCCAAAAGAAAGGATTTGCTATTTGGAGAAAAACAAGAGGGAAATACCTTTAAAATGATAATTCTGGGCAGTAGGGAAGGGCAAATGTAGATTTGAAATCCTAGAACTTTAATTTAGTGAGTATTGCACAAAGAACACTGTACTTGTAAAGTCAATTTGGACTGGATCTTCTTTTGAAAGAGCAGGGAAACATGCTTGTCAAAGACTGAGCAGAGTAGACAGCTTTTGATCAAAGTTGGGCTCTCTTTTCTTTCATTATGTTCTATTTTTCCTATAGATCTGCTATAAGTGAAACACGTAACCTTGCATGAGCTTTTGCAAGACAGATTTTATTAGAAGCAAAAAAACCCCCTACATTCAACATTGGTAATATTCTTTATTCTTGCACTGACTCTAATCTAGTACAGCTGAAATCCTAGCAAAAAGGAAGAAAGACATTTGAGTCCTCAGCAAAACTGTATTTCATCTTGCTTTTTTAACCCCGTAGCTCAAGATTTTCTCTTTATCTCAGTACATAAAAATCAGTCTCATTGGGTCCAGCTGGCTAATGAATGATTAATAAGGAGACAGAGTAAAGCCTAATTATCAGACAGATTTTGTATATATAATAATAGGATTGCAGCCAATAATGATAAAAACAAACTCATTAATTAGCCTTTCAACTGAATTGTATCATGTATATAATGGTCACAGTGACATCCTAACTTAGCTATAAATCAATTAAACAAGTATGACTTTAGAGTCTACCTTAAATATTATTTTTTACAGTTCTTAGATATTGCTTTTATCTATTCATATCATCAATAACATTCAGATCTTTTGAAAGCACAAGTTTTTTTCCATCCCTAAACCAGAGTAACTTATGAGAAAATTGAAACAAATCACTTTTACTCACCAAATGCAATAGAATATAGAATTAAATAAATACACCTATTGCAAGCATGAAGATACTTGTCTCATAGATGAAAAACCATTCAGAAAAGAAAAAAGACGTGGCAACCCTAATTCAGTTTAAATAGCGCTACAGAATTTCAAACCAAGACTTTAAAGAGTTAAGCCAACAAAGCCCTGGGCTTGCAGGTTACATCTGTCAGTTCTGGTTTTGTTCAAATTCCATTTTTAAAATTTCTGAGATACTGCAGTGGATGCCCCCATAGAAGTAATAACAACCATAACATAGCCCCAATTGGCAAACAAGTGAGTACAACAAATAGCTATAAACTAGATGATTTCACAAAGGAGATATACACACAATACTTTGAAAGGTGATTGGGTTCAGTAATTACTATATAAATCTAGATAAATGAAGACCATATCCTGTCTTTGAAAAAAATACAAATAATAAAATAGCATGAAGCCCAATGGCTAGTAATCCCTAGCCCCTGCAAACAGCTACAGAATCAGTCCCCGAGGCAGCTCAGGGATTGTATGGGCAAGCAGCATGAAACTGGTTGGGTGCTACTTATATACACCCCATACCTTGCTCCCCTCTAACTTTCCTTAGTTATGTACACCAGGCACCAAATTGGCAACAGACACTCTTTTGTGCCTGGAAATACACTATCCAGCATGCAGAAGAGATGGGGGAGGGGGGGGGGGGGAGAATTGATCACCCCTTTCCCCACTTCCCCTCCAATCTTCTTGGCTCAAATGATATTGCCATTCCATGTGGTGAGGAGTGTTTGCTTCCAGTAAAGTAAATTGGAGGAAAGGTATGACAACCCACTCTCCTTAGCCTGTCTAAAGTGGGATGGTGTGCCACTTCCTGACATTGCCAGACAATTCAAAGCTCCAGACTAACCAGCAACTGCAGGTAACACAGTTTAAGGCTGCAGTATGTCGGACAAACTCCATTCATCATATAATGAACATGGAGCTGATCCAGCAAACACGCACCATAAACACCTACTCAAGAAACACCCAAGGATGGCAGTCTAAATCATGTTTATTTGTCCCAGAATCCACCTAAAATACTGGCAAATGCACTTCCCATTGGAGTAAAACAATGGAATATGTGTTTAAGGTACTTTCCAGTTGTGAATATTTTGTGTTTCTATATAAGGAATGATACTTGCTAAATCCCATTAAAATGACATTCTTGAGGAGTGACAGGCGGGAAAAGATTGAAATGGATTTTTCCCCTGGAAAAAGTGTCTTTTCTATTATATTATTGTATTTCAAATCTATTGCTGTACTTTGTGGATCAATATGAAATTTAAACAAGACTGATATTTTGAGCTTATCAATACTTTTAATCATATTCTACTGTAAACATTTTCCTAACACTAGAAACACACAGTTTCCCCAATGCTACGTGCATTTTCATTTTTCTTCTACAGTTTAATAATTTTTAGAGAACATGATGTCCACCACTACTTCAATATGTCCATTTTTAGAATGAAAAAGAAAGTAAGTCAATTTGAATTTATTTTTCATTCACACTATAGGGTGACTGATAAATTACTTGATTTCTTTTACCATTTTATGATAAATGTGACCCTTATCATTATGGATGCTTATGGGGGGAAATGGAATGCAAAAATCAACAATAATGCATAGTCTGAATATTGAAGGCACTGACTAGGGACATGCTTTCTTCAGTTTCACTTCATTAAATCAGGCCTGCTAATTCCCTTAAACACATAGTTTGATATTACTAATGAAAATATGCATTAATTATCCATGTTATTAATATCATGAAATCAACTCTCATGGGACTGTTCCAGAAACGAGACAGAGTCTTAGGTCTGATATCCAGAGGGAGTTATCTTCCGATGATTTCATTTATTTTGTCTTAAATTATTAGAAACAGTCATTTAGTTGCACACAAGGGAAAATACCACATGAGATTTAAATGAAGGGTAGAATTGGCAGCTTTACAAACCTTGACTAAGTGGAACTGTCCACTCATGTTAGTAAAACCATGCTCAAATGGTGTTTGATTAACATAAAACCTTTCAAATTTGTTGATAAAGGTTCTAAGCAGCTGCTGTGTCGATTTTCCATTGGTAAAAATCTTGATAATTCAATTTTGGTTTTCCAGTTATATATACCTCTAGCATCATTTGTAACTAATTACAAATTGAATAATCAACTAATTGTATTTTCTCTTAGCATTAATTAAGGCTCAATCAAGATACATTGCAACTGTAACTTAATTAGAAGTAACTTCACTAACATTTTAGCTACTTTGATAATTAAGTCCATGAAATAACTAAATGATGGGGGAATATTATTATTCAGACTAATGTATTTTCTGTTTGTGGTGGTGATAATCAAAGTGCTGGATGCAAAGGTAGCAAATTTTATATCACAGGCAATAATTTGTAGAAATCATATTTTTCAAAGAAATGCATGACTATTTTAGTTACTTCTGCAAACCATATAACAGCATAGAAAGTGATTGATTACTTTCTTAGCCTTGGAATGGTAACCATAATTATTTTTAAAGCATCTTTCTAAGCTCTGCATATTTGCCCAGGGGCAGGTATTACCAACTGAAAGAAAGATAACTAAATAATTGAAAAATTAATTGCAGAAGGGAAAAACTGGTATTTCTTCTTACCTCTTTTAATTCTGCAAGACTTTTTGTCTGGTTGAAGAAGATAACCTTCCACACAGCTGCAGATATATGATCCATCTGTATTTCTGCACATTTGGCTACATGTCCCATAAAGATTACATTCATTCAAATCTGAAGAGAAGAGCAAAATGGTTTAATTGTAAGTAGAGTAGAGATATTTCCTTTCAATGTGCCCTTTCTTTTGTCAAAACATGAAAAACGTCTTGGCAAACTTAACCACTCCTTGAGTGTCAAGCCAAACACAGCTGAAATCTGCAAAGTTCCATGTCTAAAAGTTGGTTTCACAGGCTGAGGAAATTTCTGTAGGCATTAACAAAAAAATCAGTTTTTATTTTGAGCTTATAAATGGTTCACTGGAGCCAGGAATTATGCTCCTCAATGTCTTTGCTTTAAGACAGGGATATGCAACTGCCAGTGGATGAGAGGGTCATATAAATTTCCTAAGTAACTTTGTGGAGATAGTCCTTCCATTTTCATCTACTGTGCAATCCTCAACCCTATAAATTTTGAAGCTTCCAAAGAAGCATAACTTGTAATCATTCCACCCAGGCATGTAGCTGCGAGGGGAGGGGGCTTGGGGGGCTTCATCGTCCCCCCTGAAATTCTGATGGTGGCCTTACTGGTACATTATTTAAACTGATATGTTTATTCATATCATGATCTGATCACCATGCTCAATATATCCCATATGCATGGGGGTATTGGGGTAATGATACAAAAGGTTTGCTAGGGTAGACCCTCTTTCACTCAGACTCAGCCCCCCCCTCGAAACAAAATACTGGCTACGGGCTTGATTCCACCTTTTCTAGATCCATACATGCCTATTTCAAAATGATTAGACAGTTACATTCTAGTTTGACAAAATATCAGTACAGACTTCAAACTGATGAGGAGTTTACATAATAATATGGGAGGTCTATTGACCATTTTGAGTGTGAAAAGATCAAAACAAAAATGTAGATTGGGCATTTGGGAACCCTTTGATCAATGAAAAGGGGAGCATTGGTGTCTGCATGTTGACTATGGAAAAATAATGAAACTATAGAAAAGAGCTGCCAATCAGTAATGTAACTTGTAACCCTAGGTTACAAATTTGTAACTAAGGGTTATGGATCCATAACTATTTTGTATTCAGTAAGATGATGCACAATTTCTATAAGATAACATAGCAGCTGGGTAGGGCGAAGGAAGATTCCAATTGCAGTTCAAGAAGAATGTTTCCTACTACTGACAATGTGGTAATCAGAAGAACCTCCATCGTAATTTCTTATCTCAGTTTCATTTGATCGTCTTAATTGAGTCCTGATTGGCAGCTGAACAGACTTCCTTCACCTGATATGGCTGTTAAGGTAGAAAGTGGGCAGTTTGGTTCAGGAGACATTACTTAGTTATGAACTGACAGTTACGTCACTGATGTGGAATATTAGCTATCATTGGGGGCAATAATGGTATCTGAAATTTATGCAAATATGCAAAAACTTATTGCCACCAATAATGGTATTTGGAATTTAGACTATAGACTATAGACCTCAGAATCCTCCACCCAGCATGAGTATTTACTGGGACTGGAGGATATATACTCTAAAAGAGAACTTTTTCCTATTCCAGTTTGGAATAAAATTAGAACACTCTTTTTATGCTTCTTCCTGTCCCTCTACAAATTGGTCCACCAACTTTGTACATGTCTTCCTTTCCAAAATATGTGTTTTGTTTTAGTATATGGTGAAAGCCTTGCACAGAGATTACTGGGTGCTACATATGGCATGCCAAGGTAAACTTTTTGGCCAGGAATAGAGGACAACATATTTATATTTGTCATATTCCAAACTCCTAACCCTGGATGACCTTATGTCTCCTTTCAACACTGCTACAATTGTATCCCAATATCTCCCAGTATTTTAGTGTTTTGTTCTTTAAAATGGGTTCTCTGTTGCACTGTGTAGTAAATCATGGCCAAGAATTTCAGCTTTCATTTACCCCAATATTTGGGAAACGATCTGACTAATCTTCTGAAGAATGAAAAACACAGTAAGGAAAACTCATCATTCTTCACTTTTAGCACTCATACATTTAAACAGTCTCTTATGTAGCTTGCTCCAACTATAACTTTCTCATAATCTTAAACTTATCACATACCTACGACTCAAAAATGCCATACTTTTCCATTACTAAGATTTTTCCACTTGTTTAAGATTTATTTTCCTATTATTTCAGTGCAAAATAAACATCCAATTGCAAGAATCCATGAAATTGTAATTTCTAACCATCTCTTAAAACCCAAACGAGGCCATCCTCTACAATTTGCAGAAAGTAAGTAGGTCAACTTCTTGTGCACAATATGATCAACTTCTTGGACTTACCTTGACAGGTTTTCCCATTGATGCCAACCTCATAGCCTCCTTCACAGTAGCAGCCTGTTCCATTTCTGGTTACAGCACATTTGTATTGGCACTGCATTTGTTGACATTTCGGTAGTAACTCTGTAAGAAAATATATTTGGCATGTGAAATCTAGTCCATTTATATGGTGAAAGCCATGAAGTAGTGAGTAAGATGATCTTTGAAACAACATTGACTGTAGAATCATGAATCTTTGCTATCCTTGGTGAGTATATCCATGGTGTCTAGTGTTTTTTGTGTCGATGGGGCAATAAATATATTCCCAGTATTAGCTGTCTTCAAATGCAGTGAAGCTATTTAGGAATACATTATTTGAAACCTGGATAAAAACTAAAAGAAAATTCACTGTTTTCTGACATAAGAGCTGCCTGCTACCACTGCTATGTATAATCTATTTTCACTTCTTTATGAACCAGTCACCATCTTATATAAATGTAAGGATTTAGCTATTGCTAATTGTGTTGTTTCTCTGAACCCCCATCGAAGTTGTTTCACTATCCTTGAAACACTTTGGGGTTGTGTGCAGTTCTAGACTTTTATCTGCACAAAATCAGGATCCTGTGTAAAATGGAGGTCAAACTTTTCTCCCAGTTAAAGAGCAAATTAAAAGCCTGCTTCAGAGGAATGCAAAGCCCTCTGGGGTAGAATATAGGTAGCACTGAGACCTGTAGGTTAGAGCAACTGCAGATTCCAGACATCAAAATTACCACCAGCATCACATTGTATTTGGGGCATATTTTCCATTTCCTTCATGAAAAATCCCATCTTCCAGTACTTCTTTATAGTACTGAAATATAAGATTTTTCTTTTCACTTTTAACCTATTTTATCACCTCTCTGTCTTCTAATTAAAGCATGTTTCAGTGTATTTTTCAAAAGTATGTTTTTTTTAATTTTTGTATCTATTCAGCAAATGTAAATAAGTCTAAATCACTAAATCTAAAAAAATCAAAAACATTATTCTCACGAAAACAATAGTTTTCTCTGAATGACAATGGGGCATTTTCAAAAAAGAATACAGCCCTAACAAAATTAAAGATGTCAATAGTAGAGAAGTATCATGAAATCATAAAGAGAAACTTTCAGTGAGGTTTGCAATGTCGACAATGTAAGCACTGCATTGCTGCAAAGGTACAACAATTTGAACACCTGGAATTAAATAGTAATTTAAGACAGAATTGGTAATTCTGATTACATCATTAAAATTTATTTTCCTATTTATTTATTTATTTATTTATTTATTTATTTATTTATTTAAATACTGATTTAACTTTCAAATAATCGCAATAACTACTGTTAACTGTTACAGGGTATATACAGTTTTGGGAACACCCGTTATTTACTGAACTACTCCTTTGCAGGAAAGGAGGTGCACAGAACCAGTCCAGTTTGTTCCAAAATAGCCACATTCTAAACATTTGTCTAACTTCTTTGATTTTGCTGGTACTATATTGTCCTTTATTTTGTGTCTAGGCCATAAATATGACTTTTGATTTGTACAATTTTGCAGGATTGAATGATTTATCTGTAATTTCTCTTTCACACATGCAGACCACCACTAGTTAAGTTAAATGGAAATGCTGCATAGTGTGTGTGTGTGTGTGGCATAATAGATCCAGTACTTTGTTGACATAAATGCACCCAGATATCTTGAGGAAGAAAAAGCCTATTTATACCATCGCCATCATATCATACCAGTCAAGTTAAGTGAGCTATAGCTACTCCTACTATACATTAATCTTGATTAAACTTAAAGCATATTACAATAATCTATTTCCTATCCATATGCATATTTTGGGTAACCAACAGGCAATTAAAATTATCTCTACCATGAATATATTTTGTTGAAACAACAGGAAGCATAACCATTCATGTACAACCAGAATATATGTTCTGAAAGCTTGTGAAATACAGCAAAGCAATATGAAAAAAATCAGTGCAAAAGTATTCCCCGGTTTGTAGCAAATTGATTCTTACAACAGCCACTATTCCAGATATGATGGACAAAATATCAAAAACAGTTTTAGTTTCCAATGCAGTGAGTTTTAACAAGTTCTGACTTTTTTATTATTATTTTCATTTTGTTGAAAGAAAATATAAAATGGATTGTAACACTCTAGTTTAACAAATTCTATCCTTTCATAACCTCTTTAGATTTCTGTACCATTCAGGCCTATCTGGTTCCTTCAGATAGATTGTAAAATCAGCTTAGAGTTGCAAGGCAAGAAAAAGATTCAGGTTACCTATCATGTAAAATAAATTAGATATTTATTAGAAAAAAATGATATCTGGCTGTTACAATCCTTTCAAAACTTTACTTGAGTTACCATTTTGTTTCTTTTGTTTTTGGCATTTGCTGTTAGGAGAGGACTATTTTCCTTGAGGAGATTGGTTCTAGTTTTGTTACTGCTAAATCGAAACAGATCCCAATAATTTGGGTTTGTTTTGTTTTAAAAACACTGGATATGATTGGTAACTATAATACTGCTAAATAGCCATTGTCTTGTAGATAATGGGGTGTACTGGAATGGGGATATGGCTGTCAATATTGTGTTTTTACTGTTTTTACTGTTTTGTTGCTTTGTTCTATTTATTATACTGCTTTGTTATATATAGTGTCATTGAATTGCTGCCAAATGTAAGCCGTCCTGAGTCCCCCTTCGGGGGTTGAGAAGGAACAGGATAGAAATACCAATAATAATAATAATACTCTTAATAATATCTCTGATATCTCCATAAAGGCACTCCAAATTAATTCCAAAATTGACATATTTTTAGTTATTCAAAATTCATAATAAAGGCCAGCTGTAAGTTTCCCTAATAATAGAATAATTGGAAACTGTGTTTTATCGAAAGAAACCAAGGGACTAGCTAAGATGACATTTTCAGTTCTAACTGGTAACAGAAACCCAAAGTTTACTTAGCTTCAAAAATCAGATTAGATCAGATTGACTTCTAGACATCTTTATAGTCTGGGATTTTTTTTCTTCAACATACATGTAGATAAATTTTGAATAACATGATAAGACTAGTGATAAATCTGGAAATGGACTCTGAAGATAGCACTCCACAAAATTGTGCTGTATTTGAAAAAGCCATTGTTTTCTGTATTGGTTAAATAAAGTGAGTAGAAACCATCTGAGTCAATGTATCTTTTTTACGACACCTTTAACTTTATTTATTGCTCAGGCTCTACCATGCAAAATAAAAATGCAACATAATTGTATCTTTCGGCAGATCCTCACTGACCCACTATACCAGGGCTGATCCATTGAACCATAACCAAGTTGGCCCTAGGATATGTAACTCTCCCAGCAGCTGCACAGCTGGGAGAAAGTCCTGAATACCCAGGAGCTCCAAACACAATTTGGTGCCACTGAACACTCACATGTACTATCCTTTCTCCATGTTGCAGCAGTGTCTGACCATGGCACGGGTCATGCCTATTTGTCATCACCCGCACTAATGTCAGCAAAGGCAATAGAGTGATGGGGGTGGGCTGAAGATGGAGTGGAATCCCCCTCCTCTTCTTCCTCCCCTCCCTAATCCACCCGCCATCCTTGCCAATGTTACTGCAGGTGATGGCAGGTGGCAGGAATTATGTCATGCCCAGAGACTACCACAACACAGAGGATGGAAGGGGATGGTAAGTGAATTAGCATGTCCCTGGGCTACCAAAGCCAGTGATAGCTGTGAGAACAGTTGCAACTAGTTTTTGTCCAAAATTTGCCCAGCTATTCAGATGAACTCAGAATCAGCGAATACTACAAATTCTGGAACAGAATTTGGACAAACCTACAACTTTGGATAATGTGGAGAAAATTTTGAATTATGGTGGCTTTGCCATGCAATACCCCGATTTAGCTCCATGAAGCATTTTGTTACTACAAAGTTGACCTGGCCTAGTAGTCCTTTGCCTAGTTGTCCACTGACATAAACCACAGTGATAGCCCCATCAATAATGAGAACTCCAATCTCCTTCATAACAGATTTTGAGAATTTTTGTATTTTTAAATTGTAAGGTTTGCAGTATCCTTTTTTAATTTACTTTAAATGTTATTTCTAGAAATTATGAAATATTTATGTTCTCTGAACTTCTGTTAGTGCAGTGAAAACTTTTTAAGAACAAAATAACCAGAAGGAGAGCAAGAGTCAACAGTTTAATAAATTATAGGTCTCTCTAACCTTGCTTCAACTTTAAAGGAAGTTGATGCAAGTTAACTCAAGTTATGCTATCCCACAAAATACTAGAACTGAAGTTAATCCAACAAGACATATTGCCACTAGCTTTTGAACAGATCATGCAATCTCACAAAATGCACAATTAATCTATAGAACTATAGATGGGTTTGAAGGGGAATTAGAAAAAAATCACGGCAGACCATTCTATCAACAAATTATTAGCCATAACTTTTCATTGACTTAAGTCTACTACTAAGATGCAAGTTGTCACAAAAGAGACAGGCACAGAAAAGAGATGTAGTAGTCATGGGCGATTTCAACTATCCCGATATTTGCTGGAAAACAAACTCGGCCAAGAGTACAAGGTCCAACAAATTCCTCGCTTGCCTTGCAGACAATTTCATGGTCCAGAAGGTAGAAGAGGCAACAAGGGGATTGGCTACTCTTGATCTCATCCTAACAAATGCGGAGGACCTGATCGATGCGGTCGAAGTGGTAGGATCCTTAGGGGCAAGTGACCATGTGCTCCTGCAATTTGAGGTACAAAGGAAGGCCGAAACGAAGACAAGTCAAACCCGCATTTTGGACTTTAGGAGAGCTGATTTCCAAAAAATGAAGGAAACGCTGAGCAGCATTCCGTGGACACAGATACTAAAAGACAAGGGAGTTACGGATGGATAGGAATTTCTCAAGAGTGAAATACTCAAGGCGCAATTGCAAACCGTGCCAACAAAGAGAAAAAATAGGACAAGTGCAAAGAAGCCAGAATGGATGTCCAAAGAACTTCTAACTGTGCTAAGACACAAAAGAGACATGCACAAGAAGTGGAAAAAGGGAGAAATCACCAAAGAAGAATTCAAACAAATAGCCAACACCTGTAGGGAAAAGGTCCGCAAGGCT